GGAGGCACTCACTCATCTCTGCCAAGAAATTTGGAAGACAACTGTCTGGCCGACTGATTGGAAGAGATCCGTATTTGTGCCCATTCCAAAGAGAGATGACCCAGCAGAATGCAGAAATCATCGGACAATCTCTTTGATATCCCATGCGAGTAAAGTTTTACTGAAGGTAATACAGAAATTGCTGCAAGCATGTATCGACAGAAAACTTCCAAAGGTTCAAACCAGATTTACAAGAGGCCATGGAATGAGGGATATCATCTCTGATGTCCGTTGGATCTTGGCTGAAAGCAGAGAATATCAGAAAGATATTTACCTTTGCTTTATTGACTACGCAAAGGCTTTTGATTGTGTGGATCATGATAAGCTATGGACAATATTACGAAGTATGAATATTCCAGAACACTTAATTGTGCTCATGAGGAATCTGTACCTGGAACTAGAGGCAGTTGTTCAAACAGAGCATGGGAACACTGAATGGTTTAAAATTAAGAAAGGTGTGCAAAAAGGTTGTATTCTTTCACCATGCTTATTCAACCTGTATGCTGAGCAAAGAATCTGACATGGCCAAACTTCGTCACTCATATTTTGGATATATTGTCAGGAGGGACCAGTCAATGGAGAAGAATATCATGTTTGGTAAGGTGGAGGGTCAGAGAAAACTAGAAAGACCCCCAATGAGATTGGCCAAGTGGCAGAATTGATGGACTCAATCATGGCAACGGTAGTGAGATTGGCCCTGGATCGGGCAGTGTTTCTTTCTGCTGTGCATAGGGTCGCTGACTCAATGGCACCTAACAACAACAACAAATAGTCCAATAAGTAACTAAAATTAGTACAAGTAATAACTGGAATAACTTTTTAAAGGAATATTGGAAATATATTCCAAAAAATAACTTACAAATTAGCAAGTACCAGTAAGAAGTTCAGAAGACTCAAACTTCAATTAAAATTATCCTTGGAAACAAAAGAATAACACTAATAAAATTGAGTTAAACTAAGCCAGATCTGTAGTGAGCAGATTGTTAAAGTTGTTGAGTTTTAAATAATAATCTGATTATATACATAATAGAGTAATGTGAATGCTTAAAGCAGATTTCCTAGACACTCTCAGCCTGTATGAATCTCATCTGGCCTTCAAGGCCCAGTTTAAAAACAAGTTATGTCTCCCCAACTATTTTCCCATACACTAAATCTGACCTACTAGATGGTTTATTTCATAGTGTGACAATTTATTCACTTTATTTGTAATAGTGCCTTCTCTCTCTCAGTAAACCTTCACAGGATCACTGTCTAATTTTTCTGTTCTCGTCAAAGTTCTAGAACAATGTCCCATATTCTAGGCTCTGTAATCTATATTTATTGAATGCATGAGAAATTAAGAAATCTCATAACAAGTTAGTGTAAAGATAATACAAAGTTTTTTAAATCCTTAATTTTGATAATTAATCAAACCTTTTTTTTTTTTTAAACCAGGTACAACAACCCTGAGAAACTTTTGGAAACAAGATGTGGACGTTGTGGCGAGTGGGCCAATTGTTTTACACTGTGTTGCCGAGCTTTGGGGTTTGAAGCTCGCTATGTTTGGGATTACACAGGTACAGAACATGATATGAATTTAGAGCAGTGGGGTTTTGCACACTGAAAGATTTGGGTTTATAATCTGCCCCTATCATTTTTCATCTGTTACATTCCAGCCTTAATAGCCTGAGCTTCCATTTCTGTAAAATAACGAAAATACCAATGTCACAGGTTTTATAACGGGTATGTATCACAAGGTGTCTGTAATACACCTGGCTTTTTGCCTGGTACTTTGCACTATAAACATTCTTTTATTGACACTATATCATGACAGTTTACCATAACATTGATGGAATCCTGGTGTGGTGCTATACGATAAGTACTGAACTACTAACCACAAGGTCAGCAGTTCAAACCCACCAGCTGCTCCTTAGACACCCTCTTTGGGGTTGCGATGAGTCAGAACCCACTTGATGGTGCTTACAACAATAAATGGCATTTATAGTAATGGTGTTTTTATATCGATAGTATACATAAAAATGAGTTATAGAAATCTTTTTTGTAGTTATTAGTATAAAAGAATTAGTAACTGTCCGAGGAAGGGGCAGTTGATGTATCCTACATTGTCGGGATTTACGGGCCATGAGGGGTGACAGAGAACCGAGGTCGGGGTGGGCACTTTGGCTCCAGAGGAAGCCCAGGAGGAGGGTTTAGGCCCTTTGTACCTCATATCCCATTTGACTTCTATTTGTGTGAGATGACTTTTCCCTGAGTCAAGCCAGCACCTAATGAAACATCCTTCAGTGAGACTTGCTGAAGAGGAATCAAGACCTTGCTCCTAATTCTGCTGAACAGGCTTCTATCCTTTTTCTGGTGACAAAAGTAAACAATGTGATTGACAGTTTGATTGTGGCTCCAGGGACATTTGAAGTGCACATTGAAGAAGTGCGACAGGTAGGATCATATAAAAAGGGAACGTTGACTACGGAACACAGTGTGGCTGACTTGGTGGTAATCCTAAAGATTCTTGCAGCATTGGAAGCTGATGCTGCCCGCCCTGGGGAACAAAGTTGTAGAAAGCCTAAGAGTATAGAATCCTTCTGAAGCTTTGACAATGCTGACCGGTGAAACTGGCTTTGAGATCAGTTCCTCTGTTGCTACATTGAAGATTCCTATTACAACAGTACCGCCCAATCTGCGAAAACTAGACCCAGAACTCCGTTTGGATATCAAGATACTGCAGAGTGCCTTAGCAGTTATCCAGCATGCCCGCTGGTTTGAGGAAAATGCTTCTCAGTCCATAGTTAAAGTTCTCATTAGACTGCTGAAGGATTTGAGGATTCATTTTCCTGGCTTTGAACCCCTCACAGCTTGGATTCTTGGCCTGCTGGGGCACTGTGCTACGATGAAAAACCCCATCAGACAGCCTATGGCCCCCAATGTGGCATACAGGCATTGCTTACAGAGTCTGGCTGTAGGATTGTTCCTGCCGGGTTCAGTGGGTATCACTGATGCCTGTAAGAGTGGCAGCTTCAGAGTACACAGTCATGACCCTGGAACAGCGGTTACACAGCTCAGTCTCTGGTTCGAATCCTTTCACATGGAGGCTTCAGGAAGATCCTTGGCAAAGAGGGTGATGATGCCAGCCAGCTTGCTTCTGAAATATCTAACTGGGATGGAGTGATAGTGATACCTTCAGAGAAAGCTTATGAGAAGCCACCAGAGAAAAAGGAAGGAGAAGAGGAAGAGGAGAATACAGAAGAACCACCTCAAGGAAAGGAAGAGGAAAGCATGGAGACTCAGGAGTGACCATCTCTTCATCCCCTTTCCTACTCAAGGGGAAGACATGGAGCCTACGTTAGTTGCTACTGGGCATTACATGTGACATTTCTGTGGGATATGGGAAGACTACAGGAAGGACACTAAACTCTAGAGGAACAAGTGTCAATTCTACTGGGTTCTGGTATTAGCTTTGCAGCCTGAAGTCTCCATTTGTGACTATGCCATGCTTTTGTAGTGAAGCAGGATACCAGCATTTCCTATTGACTCCCCAATTCCCTATCTCCTGGAAACTGCTCTCAACCAGTAAGTACTTTGTTGAAATGTTGTGAACTGAAATTTTTTTTCTAAGAAAAACTATTAAAATACTTCCTGTTTAAAAAAAAAAAATTTAGCAACCTTAAAATATGAATATATAAAAATGTAGTAAGACCATATTAAATTTATATTATCGTACATATTCAGTTCATTTCCCTCTCTAAAAGTTTTACCTGTGGTTTTTTTTTTTTTTTTGAGAGAAAAATAAAACCTTCACTTAATAGTTACATTTTTGTTACAATCATATATAGAAAACCTCTGTTAATTCTCATCCTAGTTCTGAGTCTGAAAGACAGTTTCAAAAGTGCTGTTTACACCTTGGCATTGGCAAACTAAGTCCAGTATTTTTTAGGTTGTTCAATGTGTGACATTGGAGTTAAGGCAAATGTTATTTTTAATTTAACTTTAAACTGGGTGCATTAAAAGAAATATTCCAAAACAAGATTAGTACATTTTCAATAATTTCAAAGGAATAGAAATTTAAATACAAGTGTTCTAGAGTCTTCGTCTACCACAAAAAGTTTATTAAAATTTAGCATATGAGAAATTACTTTATTATTTGATTCTGAACTTCAAAGTTTGCATTATTGTTATTGTAAATCATTCTGACTTTATAAACTTAGCTGTTTTTCTTTTTTTGTTCCCATTGCTTTTTTGTCCCCCATTTGAGTAGACCATGTCTGGACAGAAGTCTATTCTCCGTCTCAGCAGCGGTGGCTACACTGTGATGCCTGTGAAGATGTCTGTGACAAACCACTCCTTTATGAAGTAGGATGGGGCAAGAAGATCTCCTATGTGATAGCATTCTCTAAAGATGAGGTACGAAATATAGGAGAAAGAAAATCCCCAAGAATTGTTGTTAGGTGCCATGGAGCCAGTTCCTGCTCGTAGCAACCCCTTGTACAAAACAGAATGAAAAACTGCCCAGTCTTGTGCCATCCTCACAATCATTGTTGTTTTAGCCCATTGTTGCTGCCACTGATCATTCCATTTTGTTGGGGAATCTTCCTTTTTCATTGGTCCTCCATTTTACCAAGCATAATGTCCTTTTCCATTGACTGGTCCCTTCGGAAAACATACCAAAAGAACAGGATCACCATTCTCACTTCTAAGGAACATTTTGACTGTTCTTTTTTAAAGACAGATTTAGTCTTATGGCAGTTCATGGTACTTTCAATATATTTCTCCAACACTATATTTCAAATGCGTTAATTTTTCCATATTCATTGTCCAACTATCATATGCATTTGAGGCTGTTGAAAATACCATGGTTTGGGTCAGGAGCACCTTAATTGCTCAAAGTGACATCTTTGCTCTTGAACACTTTAAAGAGGTCTTTTGCAGCAGATTTGCTTAATTCAGTAATATGTGGTTTGATTTCTTGACTGCTACTTCTATGATGAGTGTTGATTATGGATCAGAGTAAAATGAACTATTTGACAACTTCAGTCTTTTCCCCATCTATCATGTTATTTATTGGTCCAGTTGTGAGGATTTTCATTTGTTTTATATTGAGATGTAATCCTTGGGTAGTCTTTGGTCCTTATCAGTAAGTATTTCAAGTCCTCCCTCTTTGCTTCCAGCAAGCAAGATTATGTCACTTGCTATCACCGGTTGTTAATGAGTCTTCCTCCAATCCTGATGCTACTTTCGTCTTCATACAATCCAACTCATCAGATTATGTGCTCAGTATGCAGGTGGAATAAATATGGTAAAAACATACAACTCTGGTGCACATCTTTCTTGATTTTTTACCATTTAGTATGCCCTTGTGTTCGAACAACAGTCTTTCGGTTTATGTACAGGTTCCTTTGGGAAACAATTATATGTTCTGGATTTCCCACACTTTGCAATGTTATCCATAGTTGTTCATAATGCCTTTGCACAGTCAATAACTCACAAGTCAAACATCTTTTCTGGTCTTGTCTGCTTTCAGCCAAAATCCAACTGGGATCAGCAATAATACCCTTGTCCATGTCCTCTTCTGAATACTGCTTGAGTTTCAAGCAGCTCCCTATTGATGTACTTCAGTAATAATTTTTTAAATTACCTCCAGAGAAATTTACTTGCATGTGATAGTAATGATACTGTTTGATGATTTCCACATTTCATTGGGTCACCTTTTTTGGAATGGGCTCAGTATGACGCTCTTCCAGTTGGTTGGCCAGGTAGCTGTCTTCCAAATTTCTTGGCATTGACAACGAACACCTCCAGCACTGCATCAGTTAGGTGAAACATTTCAATTTATAACCCCTTCATTTCTGGTGCCTTGTTTTTCACCAGTACTTCAGTGCAGCTTGGACATTTTCCTTCAGTACCATCAGTTCTTGATCATATGGTACCTCTTAAAATGGTGAAACATCAACCAACTATGGTATAGTTGTATTCCTTCCTTCTTCTTTTCGTGCATCTTGCATCAATCAATATTTTGCTCATAGATTCCTTCAGTATTAGAATTGCAGCTTGAATTTTTCCTTATTTTTTTCAGCTGGAGAAATGCTTCATTTTACTTTATCTTTTTGATCTGCCCTTTGAAAATTTCTGTTCAATTCTTGCCTCCTCATTTCTTCCATTTGCTTTACTATCTCTGCACTGGAGAGAACAAGTTTTGGAGTCTCTTCTGACATTCATTTTGATCTTTTCTTGTCTTCTTAATGAACATTTGCTTTCTTCCTGTATAATGTTCTTGATGTCATCCCACAAGTCTTCTGGTCTTTAGTGTCTAATACATCAAATCTGGAGATGTTTTGTAAATTCAAGTGGGATGTACTAAAGTTCCTATTTTGATTCTAATGAACTTATTTTAATTTTTTTCAGCTTCATCCTGAACATGCATATGACCAATTAACAGGTCTGTACCACATTTAGCCTTTGACATTGTTTTGGCTGATAATATTGAGCTTCTCCATCTTGCCACAAATGTAGTCAATTTGATTCCTGTGTGTTCTTTTAGGTGCGGTCCTTCAGGTGTTTGCATTGAACAAGTCATTGATCTTGGGAAATTCTTTTCCCATCAGGTGATCTCCAGCATCGTTTCTATCACCAAGGCCATATTTTCTAACATGATTTTTCCTCTTTGTTTCCAGTTTTCACATTCTAATCACTAATGATTATCAGTATGTTTGATTGCATGTTTGTTCAATTTCAGACTGAAGTTAGTAGAATGTATCAGTTTCATCATCATTGGCTTTAGTGGTTGTTACATACATTTGAATAACAGTGGTACTAACTAGTCTTCCTTCTAGGTATATGAGTATTTTCCTATCACAGGGTACCTATTACATGACACTTCAAGACAGATCTTAAGGTATTCTTTTTGGCAATGAATGTGATCTCATTCATCTTCAATTTGTTGTTCCAGTATAGTGAACCATATGATTGTCAGATTCAAAAAGGCCAATACTAGTCTATTTCAGCTCACTGATAACCAGTTCATGTGTTCCATTTCATTTTTGATGATTTCCAGTTTTCCTGGATTCATTCTTCATACATACATTCCATGTTGTGATTATTAATGGATGTTTGCAGCTGTTTCTTCTCATTTTGAATTCTATCCCATCAGCAAATGAAGGTTCCAAAAGCTTTGCTTCAACCATGTCATCAAGGTACACTCTACTTTGAAGAGATAGCTCTTCCCAGTCACATTTTGAATGCCTCCCAACCTCAGAGCCTTATCTTCTGGCACTATATCAGACAGTGTTCCACTTCTGTCCTTAAGGTTTTCAGTGGCTCATCATTCAGTAATGGTCCACCTCTCCTCCTTTTTAGTCTGCCTTAATCTGGATGCTCCTGCCTACCATGGGCAATCCTCCTGATTAAAATATTCATGGCATAGCTTCCAGCCTTACAGCAACACACAAGCTACTACAGTATAAAAAACTTACAGACAAGTGGTGTTGTTGTTGTTGTTAAGTGCCGTCGAGTCGGTTCCGACCCATAGCGACCCTGTACAGGGTTTCCGAGGGTGTAAATCTTTACGGGAGTAGAAAGCCTCATCTTTCTCCCGCGGAGCAGCTGGTAGTTTCAAACCGCTGACCTTACGGTTCGCAGCCCGATTCGTAACCACTACGCTACCAGAGCTCCTTACAGACAAGTGGTAGTCCCTGTTTTATATTGTCTGTTGTTGTTAAGTGCTGTCAAGTCCGTTCCAACTCATAGCTCTCCTATATGGGGTTTTCAAGGAACAGCTGGTGAATTTGAACCACCAACCTTATGGTTCAAACTGGCCTACGGTCCAGTGTGTTATTCCACAGCACCACACACTGGACCCCTGTTGTGGTGCTGTAGGATCAACACCTACTGCGAACCACAAGGTCGGCAGTTCAAACCCCCCCAGCGCTCGTCAGAAATCTTATACAGCATCACTTTGAGTCGAAGTCAGCTTGATGGCACTTAACAACAACAACATATAAAATATGTCATTTCTCATTTTTTAAACAGCTTTGTGTAAATATAAGTGATATACGCTAACTTGCTTATGTGTAGGCTTACAGTTTATTAAGTTCTGACATTTGGTTATACCTTGGTAGTCACCACCACAGTTAAGCTAGTGAACATATCCCTTGTCTCTTGAAGTTTTCTTGTGTCTCCCTGCCCTTTCCCAGACAACCACTGATCTGCTTTCTGTCACTATAGATTAATTTGGATCTCTAGAGTTGTACATAAATAGCATCATAGAGTATATGATCTTGCACGGAAGTGGGTTCTGCTTTCTTCATAATTTTGAGTTTGATCCATGTAATTGTGTGTTATCAATAGTGTATTCCTTTTTGTTGCTATTGTGTGTGTGTATATATATATATATCAAAGTTAATTTATTGGTGATGGATGGACAGTTGGGTAGTTTCCAGGTTTTTACTGTTTCACATAAAGGTGCTCTGAACATTTATGTGCAAGTCTTTATATGGACATACAGTTTCTTTATCTTTGGTAAATCTCTAGGACTAGGATGGATGGGTCACATGGTAAGTGTATGTTTAACTTTTCAAGAACTGGAAAACTGTTTTCCAAAACTGATTGTGCCATTTTACTTTTCACCAACAGTATATAAGAGTTCACAGCAGCTTCTCTATATTCTCACGTAACACTTAGTAAGTGTTATTGTTGTTGTTAGGTGCTTTCAAGTCAGCTTCTGCTAACAGCGACCCTGTGTAGTGATTCTGAGGCTGTAAATCTGATGGACTAGAAAGCCTCATTATTCTCCCCAGGAGCAGCTGGTGGGTTTGCACTACCGATCTTGTGGCTTATAGTCCAGTGCTTTTTGTATGGAGCCATTGTGCTCCCTTAGTAAGTTTAGAGTTTTTCATTTTAACCATTCTAATAGGTGTGTTGTGGTATGTTACTATGATTTTCATTTTGCTATTAATAAATTAATATTGAACATCTCTATATGTGCTTATTTACAATCAGTGTGCCCTTGTTGCTAATTGTTTTATATTTAGATGGGTTTCTTGTTGTTGAGTTTTGAGAGCTCTTTACATACTTGGATAAAAGCCCTTTATCAGGTACATGCTTTGCAATGATTTTTCTCTCTCTCTGTGGCTTGTCTTTTGATTCTCTTGACAATTACTTTTGAAGAAAAATTTTAAATTTTCATAATGTCCGATTTATCCCTTTTTTTCTTTAATGGATTGTTGTTTTTGGTGTGTCTGATAAATCTTCGCATAGCATAAGGTCACAAAAAATTCCCAGTATGTTGTCCTTTAGATGTTTTGTAATTTTACTTTAATATTTAGATTTGTAAACCATTTTGAGTTGATTTTTGTATATGGTCCAGGGTATGGATTGAAGTTCATTCTTTGCTTATGAACAATCACTTGTTTCTGTACCATTTGTTAAAAAGATTGTCAATTCTCCATTGAATTGTCTTTGCACCTTTGTCAATAAAAAGTTCTATAATATAACAGTAGTTAAAAATAGAAACAGTTTTTAAATGTCACAAAAACTTTTATGAAATTTAGTTTTGTAAATAATTTTAAAAAAGAGAAAGTTTATGCTCTGAACAATCATCTTTTTGGTCTTTATTGAAAAGTATACCTGTAATAAAATGAATAGAAAACACTTTTTTTTTTTTTTCATATATTTCACAGGTTTTAATTTTAAATAAAAGATTGTTGTTGTTAAGTGTTGTCGTGTCATTGTGACCCATGTTGGTTAGTTGCTTATGTGCTGTTGAGTTGGTCTCACTAACAGCGACCATGTATAGGGGGTTTCCAAGGCTATAAATAGTTAGGGGAGCAGAAAGCCTCATCTTTCTCCCAGAGAACAGCTGGTAGTTTTCAACTACTGACCTTGAGGTTAGCGGCCCAACTTGTAACCACTTCACTAGTAAAGTTCCTTGTTTTGACCCATAGCGACCCTGTAAGCATTTCTGAGGAGTGACTGGTGAGTTTGAACTGCCCAATTTGTGGTTCAGACCAACCTTGTAGTCGAGTGCTTATCCTACAGCACCACAAATAGAATCGTTTTTTAAATTTGTATTTAGAAATTGTGTTTATTCTAGCAAATATAGTATGTGACAAATCAATATTAATGGTGATAATTTATATTCTGTGATTTGTTTGAGGTGGTTGATGTCACTTGGCGATATTCTTGTAAACATCAAGAGGTAATCTCTAGAAGAACTGAGGTTAAAGAAGAATTACTTCGAGAAACTATTAATGGGCTTAATAAGCAGGTATATAACTGAGATTTGTCCTTCTTTTAGGTATTTGTGGGGTTTGTGGGGTTTTTTGCTTTTTTTCAATATTTGTGGTTTTTAATATCATCAAACATAGCCAGTTTTTTGTGGGTTTTTTTTTTAAAGTTTATATTGTGAGCATGGGAGAACATCGCCTTTGCATTCATCCTATCGTATCTCATTTCATTGCAATGATTACAGTCCCCTCCATGCATCATCATTCAACAGCATTTACCTCCATTCCCTCCGTTTTGTTTTGTTTTGGTTTTTTGGGATGTACACCAAAGCACTCAGGAATATATAACCATTCAAAAATCCTGTCCCCCAGCCCATAGCCAGTTTTTAACTTTTTTAAATTAAAAATAGTGTCATTTGACAATCTAAGATACTTAAATAGGGTAAATATCTTTTTATTCATTGAAAATTTGAGGATTCATTTTAAGTAAAATAACTTAAGTTTTTACTTTTGTCATTTTTAATTAAATCGGCATGTCTTTACTCAAAGTTCTGTAAAACAAATTTCTATATGTATAGTACTTGACATAAAGTGCTATTTTATTCATCTAACTAGTTGTGTCTTGAGTATGATGACATGTACACACACATATCTATCCATTTATGGAATTTCTGAAATAGTGCACAGGAAATTGTTAGCCTTGGCTACTTCTGAGAAGAGGAACTGGGTATTAAAGGTGGAAGGTTCGCTTTCTATATTATACTTTGTGAGTGGCTTTTTGTTTTTTTTACTATATGCATGAGTTTTTCCGCATAATTATGAAAAGCAAAAGCAACGAATTTTGCTTCTGACAGACAATTAGAAAGGGCAGGTCACCCTAATCTAATCATGTATGGAGTTTATTTAAGATGAGGTTTCAGTCTGCTTTGGATTTGCCCTTTGTAACCCTTCAGATAGTTACTAGGACTCCTCACCTTGGCAAGCTCGGAACTGAAACCCATCAGCAGTAGCACCAGGAGTTTGCTAAAAACAAATTCTATTTCCTTTTTCAGTGCCTTCCCCACAATTTTGTACTTGACTTCTCAACCTCTCCTCATCATTGCCACTTAAACATTGGCAATTGCCTGAAAGGGAAAAGAGGCATCACCACTAGGTTTGCTTCATCTCATTTCTGCTCTTAGGGTCTTGTCTTCTCAAGTTTTGGTTACCTTGGTAGCTTTCTGATGCACTCAAATAGATGTTTACATGTAGATGTATGTGTGTGTCTGTGTTTTCCTCAGCTTTTGTAGATTTTCTCAACAGATGAATTGGTTTGTCATAGCTAGTCCATCATAGCCAGAAACAGAAGTTGCTGTTCCCATTTCAAATCTAGTCAGGAGAGGCCATGTAAATATGGAAACAGTTATTAAATGATCTCTCAACAGAAAATGTGAACATTTATAATAAGCTTTTTATTTGGGAAACAAAGAGTCCTTTTTATTTTCAAAAGTATTTGTAAAAATTACATTGGTCATTTTTTTCAATGTCCCCTTAAAATGCAAATGTTCTGAATACATTCTTGCTTCAAGATAAACCTCAACATTCTGCATATCTTAACAACTAATATTTTTAATATGAATTGCAGAGACAACTATCTTTGTCAGAAAGCCGAAGAAAAGAACTTCTCCAGAGGATAATTGTGGAACTTGTTGAATTTATATCTCCTAAAACTCCTAAGCCTGGAGAACTTGGTGGAAGAATATCTGGGTCTGTGGCTTGGAGAGTGGCCCGAGGTGAAATGGGTCTAGAGGTATTTAATGCATATGACATCTTACTGTTCTTTTCACTTTCCTACTTTTCATCCTTTGCTTTTGATTACAGAGGAATGCACTGGCCATGGTCTTTAAATTAACTTTACAGCATAATTACTAAAAAATACAAACATTTGAAGAGAATCAGTAATTGATTGGTATAGTATAATCCTATACATGAGTTAGCAAAGTATTTTAAATTTTACATTTTGTAAGTATAGTGTAGTATAACTTTAATTGAAGTAAATACAGAAATTTATACAATTAATAAATGTGTAGCTTAATGGAATTTTTGTAGATTGAGCTCCTATGGGAACGACCAACCAGAATGAGAAATAGATCCCTAAAAGTAGAACCTTACCTAAACCCATGAATTCTCTTCCAGTCACTGCTTTTCATCCCTAAAAGTAAGCATTATCTGGACTTCTAGATTAGAATCACCTATTATTTTAGTTGGTATATTGGAGTCATACATAAATAATCATACATATTACTTGCTCTCCAGCGTAGAGATGCTAAAGCAAATGGAAGAAATAAGGAGGTAAAAGAGCTGGATAGAAAATTTCAAAGGGTAACTCAAGATGACAAGGTCAAATATTGTAATGAAATGTGTAAAAACCTGGAGTGAGAAAACCAAAAAAGGAAGAACAAGCTCAGAATTTCTCAAGCTGAGGAAGCTGAATAAAAAATTTCAAGCCTTGACATGTAATATTGAAGGATTCCGTAGATTTAATGGGCAAAATGGACTTCTGGTGTGGTGCTGCAGGGTCCGCACTTAACTGTGAACCACAAGGTCGGCAGTTCAAACCCATCAGCTGCTCCTCGGATACCCTCTACAGGGTCACTATGGGTCAGAACTGACTCAATAGCACTTAACAATAACAACGGGCAAAATATTGAATGATACAGAAAACATCAAGAGAAGATGGAAGGAATACACAGAGTCACTGTATCAAAAAGAAATGGTCTATGTCCAGCCATTTCAAGAGATACTATATCATCAAGAGCCAATGATACTGAAGTAAGAAGCCCAAGGTGCACTGAAGGCTTTGGCAAAGTACATGGCTCTGAGAATTGATGGAATACAAATTGAATACTTTCAACAAACTGATGCTACACTGGAGTCACTTACTCATGTGTTCCAAGAAAATTGGAAGACACCTACCTGGCCATCTTATTGGAGAAGATTCATATCTGTTCCCAGTCCTAAGGGTCCCAACAGAATGTGGTGACCCAACAGAATGTGGAAATCATCGGACAATAACATTAATATTGCAAGTAAAATTTTACTGAAAATAATTCAGAAACAACTGCAACAGTACATCGGCAGTGTACTGCCAGTGATTCAAGCCAGATTCATATGAGGGTTATCATTGCTGACATCAGATGGATCTTGACTGAAAGCAGAAAATACCAGAAAGATGTTTACCTGTGCTTTATTGACTACACAAAGGCTTTCAGTTGTGTGGTTCATGACAAGCTGTGGACAACATTGTAGATAATGAGTATTCCGAAACACTTAATTGTGCTAATGAGGAACTTGGACCAAGATGAGTTCGAACAGAACATCTCTGAATGGTTTAAAATCTGGAAAGGTGTGTGCCAGGGTTGTATTCCTTCACCATGCTTATTCAGTCTGTACGCTGAGCAAGTAATTCAGAAGCTGGGTTGTATGAGGAAGAACGTGGCATCAGGATTGGAGGAAGACTCATTAACAGACTGTGATAAGCAGATGATACAACCTTGCTTGGTGAAAGTGAAGAGGACTTAAAATACTTACTGATGAAAATCAAAGACCACAGTCTTCAATATGGGTTGCACCTCAGTGTAAAGACAACAAAAATCCTTACCACTACCACTAAATAACATCAAGATAAATGGAGAAAAGATTGAAGTTGTTAATGACTTCATTTTACTTAGATTAGTCATCAACACTCATGGAAGCAGCAGTCAAGAAATCAAACGACACATTGCATTGAGCATATCTGCTGCACAAGACCTCTTTAAAGTGTTGAAGAGCAAAGATTTCAGTTTGAAGACTAAGGTTCACCTGACCTAAGCCATGGTATTTTTCAGTAACTTCATATGCATGTGAAAGATGAACATTGAATAGGGAAGTCCGTAGAATAATTGATGCATTTGAGTTACGGTGTTGGAGGAAAATGTTCAAAGTGCCATGGATTGCCAAAAGAGGAGCAAATCTATGTTAGCAGAGTGTCAGTAAAATAGAGGAAGACCCACCACGAAATGGATTGGCACAGTGTCAGTAGCAGTGGGCTCAAGAGTAGGACTGGGCAGTGTTTGATTCTGTTGTGCATAAAGTCACTGTGAGTCAGTACTGACTAGACGATACCTAACAACAATAACAGGCTCTTGAGTAGAGATTAAGAAAGTATAACACTGTCTTTTGCCTTTAATGAACTTAATGTTGACTCACTGGAAAGTATTAAATATTAGACATTAAGGGAAATATGTAATGAAAATGCTTTAGAGGAAAATAACCCATTACAATTTTAGTATCCAAGAATTCCAAACTAATTACAGGTTTATATCTACATTTTCTCAACTTGCCATTTTTGCAATTCATTGCTCTAGTCCACTTTGGGTGAATTATCTCCAATACATTTTGCTTGTTTTTTCATTTATTCCATCATCTGTAGCAGGCAGTTGGAAATGCTGGTTCTGCCATTGAATTACAAGACCTAAATTCAACAAATAATTCACATCACCACGAATGCAGAGCAAGTTACAAGTATAAATCTAAATGAAGCTAGTTAAAAAGAGCTAATTTGATTCACAGCTGTTTTCAATTTAAAACATGGATATTATTTAGGCCTTCATTTCTTTTTCTTTGTGTGAATGGGTTTGCTTCCTCTGGCATGTAAGTTGATTAAACTTTAAAAATATAAATTGGGTCATATACTGTGAAGATTTCGCTCTTGAAAATTGTTTTAAATTTCTCATTTACTGGGAACTGTAAATTTTAGGGCCGTGAAATAAAAGAGAAACCATTTTCCTCTTTAGAAATGAAAGTCTGTTTTAAAAATATATTGGAAAATATCATTTCTGAAAATTTTGGGAACTGTACCTTGCACTCAATTTGAAAAAGAAGATGATATTGATGACAGTCATTTCTCCAGCAAGATAATAATTTCCTAATCTTAGATTGAAAACATTTTATACAATATTAATGCTGCTATGACTCCAGTTTGTTTTATTCAGCTGCATACATGCTGTGTTCAGTAACATACTTTTTTTGTCTTTGCCTTTTGGTAATTAATCCTTTGTACAATAGATAATGTTATTTTTAAATTTTATTTCCATCTGGTTTATGTCAGCATGCTGAAATATCTTTACAGAAGAAAGGAATAGTAGTGTTCTCATATGACTGTTTTGAAGTTTCGTATACTGATTCAAAATTGTAAAACTGATTTCTAAAAATAAACTGCCTTTTTATACTATAGCTCCTTGGCAGCTTTTTATACTGTATCTTTTATACTGTGTCTTTTTTATACCATATAAATTTCTGCTAAGAAATTATTTTCATGTGCATATGCTTAATGGCACTATTTTAAAATTAAAATTCTGATAGAAATGTATCTAAATATTCCTCTTTCTGTGTCTTAAGGTTTTTTTGTATACTGTTACACATTTGGAATTTTAATATTGTTTAATACCTAGTGCCCCATCACCACCACCATAAAAAGGCATTGTTTGCTATCCTGATTGTTGTTTTGTTAGGTGCTGTTGAGTTGATCAGACTCTTAGTGACCCTGTGTCAACAAAAGTAACCACTTCCTAGTCCTGCAACATCCTTATAGATGTTGTTACGTTTGAGCCCAGAGTTGCTGCCACTGTGTCAGTTCATTTTATTAGGGGTGTTCCTCTTTTTCGCTAACTCTCCACTTTTCCAAGCATAATATCCTTATCCTCCTAACAACATGTCCGAAATACGAGTTATAAAGTCTCATCATCCTTGCTAAGAGGCATTCTGGTTGTACGTCTTCCAAGACAGATTGTTTGTTGTTCTAGCAGTCCTTAGTATTTTCAGTATTCTTCTCCAACATCATAATCTAAATGCCTTGCTTCTTCCCTGGTTTTCCATCTTCAGTGTCCACTTTCACATGCATATGAATCTATTGAAAATACCATGGCTTGTGTTAGGCGTACCTTAGTTTCTATAGTGATAGCTTTGCTCTTGAACACTTTAAAGAGGTCTTGTGTAACAGATTTGCCTGGTTGGTTAATGCATAGAGCAAGATGTTGACACAGCTTAGAGCAGTGAGCCATAATGGTGGTTGACTCTGCCCCCAGAGGACATTTGACAGTGTGTGAAAACTAAAATTTTAGTTGTTACAACTAGGGAGATTAGGAGAAGGGAAATACCACTGGAATCTAGTGGATACAGGTTAAAGATGCTGATAAATATCTTGCAGTGCAGATGACAAGTCCCTCAGAGCAAAGCATTATCTGCCCCAAAATGTCATTCATGCAAAGGATGAGAAATCCTGATTTAGAACCAAGTTTTTTACACTGGACTACTAATGTTTGTGTCTAAGGAGAAAGGACAATTGTGTGAAAGGCTCATCAGGAAACAGGATAAATACAGCATCTTTTCAAACCTTAGATTCATTCAGAGATTTCAGGAACTGTACAAGTGTCTTACAGTAATCCCCTAGGTTAATATATGCTGAAATTTTTAAGGTAAAGCATGAGCTTTTGAGTAATTCCACAGATACACAACTCTGGATTGTCTTTAGGCTGGTGCCTGAGGGGGGGAATGAATCACATATACTGGGGGGGGGGGGCTTCAAAAAATTGTGGAAAAATTCCATTATCTTTTAATTCCATTTTCCACGAAGTTTTTGGAGGCCCCTTGTAAGAAGAGTAGAAAGAACAGCATTCCAGAGATAATAACATGTGTCAAAGCACAGGAATGATGCCGGACCTTTTTGAGGAACTAAAAGAAAAGTAATGTGGTGAGAGCATACAAACCAAAGGGAAGAGTAGCAAGAGCTGGGTGGAGAAACTGCACAGGACAGATCCTACAGGGTGCTGTTAACCTTGGAAAGAGACTGAAGTGTAAGTGACACATATTAAGTAGAAAAGGGATCAGTTTTGCATTATGTTTAAAATCATATTCATTCTTTGTGTAACATGATAGGAGAGCTAAGAGTTGAAAACTGGGAGTCAGGTTTAGAAAGACCACTGGAGTCTAATATGGCACTGCAGGTAAAAGCGCTGGACTGCAAGATCTGTTTGAACCACAAAGTCCACAGTTCAAGCTCACCAGCCGCTCCTCAGAAACCCTATACAGGGTCACTGTGAGTCAGAACTGACTCTGTGGCACAAAACAACAACATTGTAGTAGTCCCAGTAAGAGATGGTGGTGGAGGTGGAAATTAATAAAAACATGGACTTAGGTTAAACAGAAAATCACAAAAATGTAAATCAGTTAATGTTTATGTTTTCCTGTTTTGTCTCTAGTAATGTTCATTGCTATTCAGCATCATATTGATTACATTTAATTTTCAGAGTTTTCAGTGTAAAAATTACACCAGTTTTCCTTTTTCAATGTAAAAAGTCATCATATTTTTAATGGAGCCTTCACTTACCATATGCATATTTTGTTTTGTATCTACTATATTTAAAATCCAATTCTGTTTTCTCTCTAAAGGTAAATGAAACCCTGTTCATCCCCTCCGAAAATGAGAAGGTTTCTAAGCAGCTCCACCTTTGCTATAATATTGTGAAAGACTGCTACATCCGAATTTCAAATAACAGTCAAACCATTTCTGGATGGGAGAATGGTGTGTGGAAAATGGAATCCATATTCAGAAAAATTGAAACAGACTGGAACATGGTAAGTTAATGCTTGACGCTATGTTTTAAAACATTTGCCTTTGTTTGAACAGAGATTGTGCATAAGACAAAACTGATATATAAAAATTTTTGTTTACAATCCTTTATAAAATGAAATCTTGCTCCCAACATAGTATCAGAGATTCACTAGAAATTGTTGCATTTTTATTAAGGAAGTGACCATTTTCATCAAAGAATTTGGGAGAAAATAATCAAGTGTGTGACCAGTCCATGTGGCTGCTCTCTTGCATGAATGGATAAAGTATGTTGTTGTTAAGTGTCGTTGAGTCAATTCCGACATAATAGGATTTCCGAGACTGTGTATCTTTACGGGAGCAGAAAATCTCATCTTTCTGCCAAAATGTGGCTCCAGCCGCCAACTTTGTGATTTGTAGTTCAGCACTTATCCTTATAGAACCACTCTGCTGTGTTTCTTTCACATATGTATACTGATTGCCTATTCAGTGAAGGCTACTAGAGAATATAATCTGTGTTGGAAGAAGTATAGCCAGAATGATCCTTATAAGCCAGGATACTGAGGTTTCATCTCTCATACTTGGGACATGTTACCAGGAGGGATATCATGCTTGGTAAATTGGAGGGTCAGCAAAAAAGAGGAAAACCCCCAGTAAGATAGATTGGTAGTGGCAGCAGCAATGAGCTCAAGCTTAACAATTGTGAGGTTGGCACAGGGACAAGGCAGTATTTCGTTCTGCTGTACATAGGATCACTATGAGTGGTAGCCTGATGGCACCTGACAACAACAAGGTAATGTAATAGATTTAGTCCCAAGAAGCCAACCCTGTAGCCAGTTGTTGATTTATAATAATATGGATGATTGAGTAGTAGCAACATCAGTATCTTTTCTCTGTGTCCTAAAAGTAAGTAAGTGAATTAAGGCTGGGGCCATAATTACCAGGTGTTGTCCAATACACTTAACTCTTGGAAACCCCTTTTTTGTTAGAGTGAAACTATGATACAGAGGGTTTTCAGTTACTGATTTTCAGAGTTGAATCTCTAGGTCTTTCTTCCTTGATGACTATGTGTGGACTCAAACCTCCAACTTTATATTTAGCAGCCAAAGTTTATTACCAGCAGGGCCACCCATTGTGTACATATTTCAGTGTAACTTCCAGAATAAGACTAGGAAGAAAGGCCTGGTGAAGTGCTTCCAAAAATTAGCCAATAGAAATCCTGTGAATCACAATTACCCACTAAAGTGCTGTCAGATGAGTCCTCTGTAGATTGGAAGGCACTCAGAACACACAGTGACTGCAACAGTTGATTGACTGGTGCTAATGATCATGAAGACTGCAGGACTGGACAGATTTTCCTGCTGTTGTTCCTGTGGTTTTCATGAGTTGGAACCAGTTCTACAGGAACTTAACAACAATAGGATGATATTAATAGTTCACTTATACTGAATTGCACATTGCAGTCACATGGTAACTGTAACATGTATAAAAGACTTTATTTTTAAACTGCTGTACCCCTTAAATACATGCCAAAAGTTAATTCAAAGTTATTCCGATTGCTTTAATAGATCTGACCATATTACTGATAAATTTTCATAGGTTTTATTAACTTCCAGGGATCCTTTAACATCACCTTACCAAGATGTTTGTGTGGGGAAGTTGATCATTTGTAAGACATATTGGATAGATTTTTCAAAAGTGAGTTACAGATTAACAGCTGCTGGTGTTTATGAGCATATAGTATATGCTTATCATTGTTGTAGGCAGTAATCAGAGTACAAAAGAAATTCAAAGATAAGGTCCTTGCTTATTTAACCCATCAATTATAAGTTGTTCCATTGGTTGCATAAACATAAAGTTCCAAATTCAAATCACATTTATTATTTAATAGCAAAAGTAAGAATATTTTTGTATTAAGCCAATAATACCTATAGGATTTTTATTATTAATAAATTTTCTTTCTTTACCTAAAGAAGAGCATAAACAATAAAGCAGGATAAAATTTTAAACATCAACTTGTAATTGATTTTATTTAGTTAATGAAAGAGATTTAATTTCTGGAAAACTATTATTAGCTTGAAAAATTCTTCTAACCCAAAAGTAAGAGAATAAAAATCAAATCCACTGCAGTCAACTCTCTAGGACTGAGTAGGACTATCCCTTAGGGTTTCCAGGACTGTAATCTTCAGGGAAACAGACCGCCACATCTTTCTCTCTCAGAGCAACTGGTAACTTCAAACGAGGCCTTTAGCCACTGCTCCAGTAGGACTCCAACATAGAATCAGAATGTTACCTGTCCATCTACCAGTCAGTATCTGCTGAAGTAAAGGAAAATCATGCCTTTCCTTCTAACTGGCACTGTGAATTGAGAAAACCATGTGCTGCAGAAACTGTCAGTAATCAGATCTTACAATGTGGCATAAGGAGCTCTGGTAGCGTAGTGGTTACAAGTTGGGCTGCTAGCCTCAAGGTCAGCAGTTCGAAACTACCAGCAGTTCTGCAGGAGAAAAATGAGACTTTCTGCTCCCATAAAGATTTACAGCCTTGGAAACCCTGTATGGGTCGCTATGAGTCGGAACTGACTCCATGGCCTACCACCACCACCACTACCACTATATGGCATAATCCTTTATCTTATTCACTCATTTGTTTAGTGGCAAACATTTACTGAGTGCCAGGCATTGATCTCAGCCACATGGTTTAAAAGATGAGACTACAGATCCTGCTGCCCCTGTCTAATGGGAAACTGAAGTATAAACAGCCATCTTAACCACATGCAGAGTACAAGAATAAGGGTGTCAACATTGCTATGGAAACACCGGGGAGGGAATAATTAGCTATGGCTGTGGGAGTTAGGCACATCGCTGCAGAGCAGGTGGCAGTTGAGCTAGACGCTGAAGGTTGAGCAGGTGTTTGTCAGGCAAGAGAAGAGGAGTAAAGGTATGGAGTGCATGGAATGTTTTAAGGTTTCAAAATAGAGCAGTGTGGCCAGAGGCTGTATTACATGAGAAACATTTCAATAATGTAAATAGAAAACAGGCCTGTGCTCAAGAAAAACTTAGGTTTTAACACACTTTTATAAAGGGTACTACTTTATAAAAGTTGAATTAATCCTTTACAAACTGTAGTAGTATCAAATTTAAAAAAAAATCTTAACTATTACTGTTGGAAACTGATAACTCAGAAGTATCATAGCATATGGTCATTAAAACGTGTGTTTCCACCTAAATTAGTATTTCTGGGTGCATAGTAACATACACCTAATTACCATCCTAGGAGTCTTGGTGTGGCACTATAGGATAAGCACTGAACTGCTAACCACAAGGTCTGGTTCAGACTTCACCAGCTGCTCCTTGGATACCCTATATAGGGTCGTTATGAGTCAGAACAGGCTCGACAGCACCTAACACCACCACCAGATCCATTGACTACATACTTACTTCCCATTGCTTCTTTCTTCAGTGATCCTCAGTGTGGTGTCATGACACATCACATGCAACCTGATTACAGATTTTTACAAAAGGTTATTCCTCCCTCAAAGCTACATTCTCCCTGCAGCACAGAAATGTAATACTTTTGTTGTAAGTTGACATCAAGTTGATTCATACTCATGGCAGCTCTGTGTGCAGGCAAAAACTGTTGCACAGTGTTTTTAAGGCTTTGTTTGACCTTTTGGACGTAGAGGCACTTCTGGGGAGTTTTGAACCACCAAGCTTTTGGTTGGTAGCCATGCACTTCACAAATTTCACTTCCCAGAGACTCTTAACTGAATTTCATTACTTAGCAAATACATCTTTGAGTGACGATGGTGGTGGTGGTGTGTCGTGGAGTCAGTTCCACTTCATAGTGACCCTATATATGGGTTTCCGAGACTGTAAATCTTTATAGGTGCAGAAAATCTCATCTTTCTCCCACGGAACAGCTGGTAGTTTCAAACTGCTGATCTTGAGGTTAGCAGCCCGACTCATAACCACTGCACTACCAGAACTGAGTTAAATATATATAATGCCTTCTGACCTTGCACCATGCTACCCCTTGCTCTGCACTGCAGCTATACTGTCCTTCACCCTCTACAGTACCTCCTGGTGAATGCACTCATCCTCAGAACTTGTTGTAGTCCCACCTAGCTGTATCCATTTTCTCCTTTATAGACTCCTTGCACCATGCACATCTCCTTTCATGACATTTTGTCAACAAATATTTGTGAGAGCATATTATTGTCTCTCTCACTAGACTGTAAATGACCTTATTTTGTGTACATAGGACATAGTAGGTAGTCAGTAACGATTATTAAAGAAAAAAATAATGAATGTACTTGTATTTTGGCATAAATTACACACTGCCCTAGGGCTATGTCCACTGGCACAGATATTCTGCCTTTGTTCAGCTCCTGGATGCTCTTAAACACTTCACTTTTTAGTAGTTTTATTATTTCCTTGTCACCAGAGATATTTCAGTGCTTTTTGATGTATGGCATTATGTTATTCATTCATTCATTCATTCAGCAAACTTGCATTGTCGTGGCATTCAAGATACAGTGGTGATTTAAAAGACAAACTTCAAGGTAAGCATAGAGTAGTGTAGGAGAAAGGCATGTGACCCAGTTCTTTTAGATCACTGGAGTAAGTGCTGTGTGGAATGGATTTGGGTCTGTATGATACTGAAGGAAGGAAGGAGGAGCCACAAACTCTTCCTGTGTTCAAGAAGACTTCTGAGAAGATGTAATATTTGTGTGGGGTATTTGGAAGAGGAGGGAGAGGAAGAGTTTGTTAATGTGGAAGGAAAAGGTATTCTGGAGCATGAGAAATAGCATGTGCAATTACAAAGGTGGAACCATCTGGTGTATTCAAAGAAGAGTAAGTAGTATGGGATATGCGGGAGGATTTTGGGAAAGATGTTTATTTGTGCTTTATTGCATTTGTAAAGGCTTTCAGCTGTGGTGTTAAGTACTGCGGAGTCAGTTCCAACTCATAGTGACCCTGCACAGGGTTTCTGAGGCTGTTCAGCTGTGTGGACCAAGACAACTGGATAACATTGCGAAGAATGGATATTCCTGATGCTCATGAAGAATCTGTACATAGTCCAAGTGGCAGCTGTTAGAATAGAAGAACATGGATACTGAATGGTTTAAACTCAGGAAAGATTTGCACCATGGTTGTATCCTTTCACCATACTTGTCAGTCTGTGTGCTGAACCAATAATCCAAGAAGCTGAACTATATGAAGAATGTGGTATCTGCATTGGAGGAAGACTCATTAACAATCTGCAATATGCAGATGACACAACCTTATTTGTTAAAAGCAAAGAGGACTTAAAATAATTAACTGATGAAGATCAAAGACCATAGCCTTCTGTACGGATTGGGCTTCAATATTAAAAAAAAAACAGATCCTCAACAACTGGACCAATAAATACTATCATGATATGTGGAGAAAATATGTAAGTTGGCAAAGATTTCATTTTGCTTGGATCCGCGAACAACATTCATAGAAGCAGCAGTTAAATTAGACAAGGTATTTCGTTGGATAGATCTACACAAGACCTCTTTAAAGTGTTCAACAGCAAAGATACCAGTTTAAGGACTAAAGTATGCCTGACCCAAGCCGTGATATTTTCAGTAGCCTCATATGCATGTGAAAATTGGGACAATGAATAAGGAAGACCATAGGAATTATGGTTTGAATTATGGTATTAAACAAGAATATTGAAAGTACCATGGACTGCCAGAAGAACAAACAAATCTGTGTTGGAAAAAAGTATAGCCAGAATGCTCCTTAGAAATCAGAATGGCAGTATTTCGTCTCTCATACTTCAGACATGTTAGGAGGGACCAGTCCCTGGAGAAGGACATCATAATGGTTGGTAAAGTAGAGGGTCAACGAAAAAGAGGAAGACACCCCAAAAGATGGATTGGCACAGTGGCAGCAGCGATGAGCTCAAACGTAATAATTGTGATTATGGGTCAGGACTGGGCAGTGTTTCATTCTGTTGTGCATGGGATCGTTTGAAGTCAAAACCAACTTGACAGTATCTAACAACAGCAACATGTGGGAAAGAATAGCAGAGAAGTAAAGAGGTATCCAGTCCTAGAGATTCCGATGCCCTTGCAAAGGAGTTTGAGTTTTACCTTTGATGTTGTTACTGGGTTAAGGTAGAGGAGGAATGTGATCATACAGATATTCCAGAGGCTACAGATGGAATAAATCAGAAATTCAGTATAAAAAGATTTAACTACAGTGATAGCTGACAGTGGATTAATGTTTGATTTCAGTGATAATATGGAATAGCCAAACATAAGACACAAAAGCCATGCCAGTTTCCCTGCACTGAATTAAATCCCTTTGAAATACAGTTGTTCTGCTGAGTAGCTATAGGAACGACTGCCTGCATGGGGCCTGCAGCGTGGTGAAGTTAATTAGAGTTAATCTTAGCAGCCTAAGCAGAATAATTTTAAAAGTATACTAAAGAACAACTTCAAACAGTGCAATGAAAACCAAACCACCAGGAAACCATTGTAATGGACAGAGCAGCCTGGCATGTAGTAATCAGAAAGTCCTTTAGCAAAGTCTCCTGCATAAAATGCAGTACATAAAGAAGCTGGCATGTAAATTGTTCTCGATCTTAAAACATAACTGTTATAGCCACAGACCAAAAGGCAAGCTTTTTTTGTGTACGTTGTGAAAGGAACAATTTAAACCTTAATCCACAAACACATTAGTTTTGTTCCCACCCACAGTTTTGATATGCCTGTATGAAGGGGCTTCAGAAATTTCATGGAGAAATGGAGTTAGAAGATGATACATGTACTTACAGACACTAAAAGAGGAGAGGGTAGGCCATGGGGTGGTATCTGAGTGTCGATGTCAATCTACTGAAGAAAAACTCCATTTTTTATTTTACTGTAACACCATTTTACAAAACTAAGCATTTAAAACTGCACACAGTAAATTAAGCCTATTAATTTAAAAGCCAACAGGTATAAAAAAACATTATGTTTTGGATAGCTCAGGAAATTAGGATTTTTCTATAAAATGAATTTTCTATAAAATGACCTTAAAAGCTGATGCCTTTAGAATAGAAACTTTTTAAGTTTTGGGACAGTGAACACTTGCTTATTTATTTTTTTCTCTAGATAAAACAATTGAATTTTGAAGAGCTTTAGATAGTATTTTTCTCCTAAATTCTAATTACTGGTTCTGCTGATATTATACTTAGACAGGACCACTTTTTAAACTCTTATTATCAATTCTATTGTTATTGACAATTTCAAGTAAGCAAATGGAGTATATTCGTGATAGCTGCTACCTTTCCTAACAAGAATTCTTTGAGTTACTTAAAATGCTACAGAGAGAATTAATCATGTGAGAAAGTTGAAATGAATTTTAACATAAATAAGATCAGTTTGCGGTCTCTAGATACTGGTTCTTTAGTGCAACAAACCTTTTATTTGCTTACCCGTATGTTTGTTTGAATGTTTAAGCATAGTAGAAATCCGTGATGAATTCTCTCTTAACTCTTTCATATTTTTAAGACCTGAAGAGCTGATGCCTTTAGGATGGAATTTTTTTTTTAAGTTTTAGGGTAAGCAGTGATCTCAGGCTTAATCAACTTCTCTTATATCAAACCTTCTGTTAATAGTAAAATCCACAGTCTGAATAGACTTACATGTTACGATTTAGACAGTTTTGGAGTAAGCTGAAAGTTTGAAGTTAACCTGTATTTTATGCTCATACTTTTCAGAAACATATGATACTACTGAGCTCTTGAAAATATATGACCTAGAAGTATATATTGAAGCATAGATTGAAATGTATCTGCTTCTATTTTAAGATTACTTTCCAGCTGTCTTTCTTCCACTAAGCCTTCTGTTGGGTTTATTGTTCCCAAATACTCTCCTTTTCTAGCTACTACTTTACATTAGTTAAGTTTTGGATAATCCTTAAATGTCCACTAGTTTATTATAGGTGAAACTAACCAATTCCCAGAGAGTATTGCTACAATTCTGAGTCCCCAGGCTTCACTTACAAATGATTATAGAAGAAGCAGGAAGTGGGGACATGAGAGCATGAGGGGATGGTGTATTGCAGTGCTCTGAACTTGAGTAGGGCAGGTGATAGTTCTCATAGCTAAGTTGGTCTTTCAGAACAACAGTTGACTACCCATGTGTAGTCTAAGGAGTTCAAGTTTGTGTCCTTGGAGAGTGGCTGTTGATAATATATAAGTCACTGATCCTAAAAGCTAAACTAATTAAATAAATAGATATTTAACCAGGAAGAAAAATAGCTGTAGGTTTCAGAATAGACTGCAAAAACCACTGCTGGAATGCTAGTAGTAATTGATGTCCCACCTGATGATTAAAGATTAGAATAGCTTATGAAGTAGAACTTGCCATGTATTGTGGTGGTTTTGTACTAGCGAGTCAATTCTGACTCAGAGTGACCCTGTATAGGGTTTCCAGGGAGCAGCTGGTGGTTTGAACCACCGACCTTGCTGTTGGTAGTCAAGTGCTTACCCTACAGCTACTCCCAACTATTTACTCCTGAGCTTAAAAGTATTCCAGGTAGACTAAATGTTTCTAAAATTATTAAGTCTAAGTGAATATTAAATCTAATGCAAAAAAAGGAAAACCATCAATGAAATGGATTGACATAGTGGCAGCAAAAAACTGTAATAGTTGTGAGGATGGCTCAGGACCCCACAGTGTTTGTCTTGACCACAGGGTCACTGTGAGTCAAAATCAACTCAACAGCACCGAAAACATTAACATATATGTGTGTAACTTTTTAATCAATAAATGTTCATCTAGAACCTGTTTACCCAGATAGATTATGGCTTGGTTAAATTGTATCAGGTAAGTTTAAGTAAGGCTATTCAAGATGAAACTATGGAGGACCTTGAAAGCCTAAAGTATGGACTTTAATACAAGAAGTAGGTACTTGATTGTATGTTCTAGATCAGGCAAACAACATGATACAAGTGGGATTTTAAAAACAGTTGAGTAATGTTAAGTAGTTGCAATAAGGTGAATGTGAAGTCATGTCTATAGTCAGTAAGTACAGTATAAATGAGCAAAAGGGTATATTCTAGGCTTATTTCAGAGAACTCTTAGGTTATTTTGGTAACTTGGATATCAGAGATAAAGAGTGAAAAGTCAGATTTTAGGAGTTTGAACTTCGGTTAATATAATAGGATTGCTTGTGAAAGACCAGCACTTGATATCAATGTCTTGAAGAGTATAGATAAAAATTATGAGGGGAGGAGCTGAGAGTTAGTAGAGTGCTTGGAGATTTTAAATAGTGTACATATAAATGGTAAGAGGTATTAGTGATGAAAGAATGGGTGCATACTGTTTGTTGTTGTGATGAGCTGGTAAGTCAGTTCCAAATCAGAGTGACCCTGTATAGTGTTTTTAGGGAGCAGCCGGTGGATTTGAACCTCTGACCTTGTGACTAGCAGTCCATTTCTTACCCTACAGAACCACACTAGGATTCCGCATACTACTTAGAGAGGTGAATAAGATACCATCTTTTAAACAATTAGCAAAAGCTGAAATATTCTTGATTTAGACGTTATGGCTCATCCCATTCTAGGAAAGCTGATACGAAAATCCAGACCTATAAGAAAAACTAGGAATGAGTGCGTCTAAAAAGTATTTTTATTTTTAACAAGATTCATCCTAAGATTCATTTTCATATTTGAACTTCTTAATTTTCAAAGAGAATATCTTTTTACCAAAATTTGATTATCATTCAGTTCTTTAGGACTACACTTATTGTACAGGGTTGCTATGAGTCAGAACCGACTCCACGGCACATCACTTATTGTATTCAAATAATGACTTCCAAAAATTAGTAATGAAATGAGAAATATTAGTAGTAAAATCTTCAATGAAGAAAAAATTGGTAAATTAATAAACACTTGTACATAGTACCTTGTGACCATCAGACTTCTGCATTGTGTTTTCTACACAATTTCATCATTTCTGTTTCTTTTCCCCTGCTACTTTGTAGGTGTATTTAGCCCGGAAGGAAGGATCATCCTCTGCTTATATTTCCTGGAAGTTTGAGTGTGGATCAGTTGGTCTTAAGGTAGATAGCATTTCCATTAGAGCAAGTAGTCAAACCTTTCAGACGGGAACAATACAGTGGAAATTGCGATCTGATACAGCACAAGTAGAATTGAAAGGAGGTAAGCATTTGACTAGAGAATTTACTTCTATGAAGAGTAATTGTATTTGAGATGTTGTGACTTTTTCATGCCTAAGAATTATTCATTGTATTGAAGTAAAGTTTGAAAATTAAAAGTCAGAGGGCTGATTTTTTTGTTATAATACACACACCAAAAAAGGAGAAAAACAATGTCTTTCTTAGATTCAAAGGACACAATTTCTCCAAAAAGAATAATTTGTGTTTATTTTTACTTGTAAGTCAGGTATAGAAAATGTATTCCAAAACTCTTTATGCTCTTTATAGTACCAAAAGTAAAGAGTTCTTTTTTAAATCTCTCCAACAGATAAACAGCTTCGCTCCTATCATGATTTTTTTGGTGTCACTGAAGTTATTTTGGAAGCAGAATTAAACCAAGGAGATGGTGATGTTGCTTGGCAACATACGCAGCTGTTTAGACAAAGCCTAAATGACCATGAAGAAAATTGTTTGGAGATAATTATAAAATTCATTGACCTTTGAGAACCTTGATGTTATAGAAATATAATAATCAAGAACTTCCCATCATCTAAAACTATCCATTGATTCAGTGCATGCTTTGTTGGCAATTTAATGCCCTGTGCTAGTGTATTTCTTTTACATGTCCATCATTTAACCCTTATGAAAATATATCTTTATACCCTGGACCACGATGAAACTTGAATTACAATCTCCTTCCATCTATGACTAGCTTAATGATTGGAGTAAAGTGTTATTGCCCCAATACGAAATTTTAATCTGAAACTGAATATAGTTTTAAAAGTAAAATAATGGTATTCAAGTAAACACTATTCATAATTATGGTAAAATCTTGAGCTAATAATAGTAGTTTGACATTTTCTATTCAACCATAATTTCTTCATAGGCAGATGGATTAGTTTCCTAAGATTTTTAATTTAATAAATGTGAAAGTTGCTGTCTTTTAAGTTATATGATGCATGAACATTTTTATGATTGTAAATATGTAGGCATTTAAGAAATAAAGTGAATTATTTTGCCTATGTCTTTATTAGTGGTTTCTTTGGCTCAATAAAATCTTTAATAAACATTGAAAATCACTTGCATTAACACGAGTTAAGAAAACATTGAACATTGCATAAATTTAAAGATACATTATAAATTCCATAGTATGTGCACACTGAAAATGCTGTAATTTGAGTATATTTTTATCAGTCACATTGAATACAATAGCTATTCTTGACTCAAACTATGTAACTATATGTGCTTCATAGTTGCATGGAGCATTTATACACTGTTTTAGGACTCTGTGTGTGTTTATGCTTTATAATTGTTCAAATTAAACAAGACAAAAATTGAGCATTTATAAGCAAAGGAAACATTGATAGAATCCTGGAGAAGGCAATGGTACAAACGATAACCCCTTAAAATACCATTTGTGGTTTTCTGCAAAGAATTCTCAACTCTTCAGACAAGGAAAGTACATTCTCAGAGATTCTCACCCTGTGCAACCCAAAAGAACATTTATGGGAATTATATAAGAGGTCAAAATAGCCTGACACAGTGCAGTAGCCTTATATGTAATTTCTAAATGCAGCCAAATTCCATTGAGAATCACTTTCTTGCAAAAAAAAGTTACATTTTTTAAAAACTGGTTTAAGCATTTAAAGTTATCAGTGTGTTGAATATTAGAATTTTCTGGAACTCTCAGACTCTGGGGTAATCATAGCATCCTGCAGTGGCCAAATAGTTTAAATTGGAGAGAAATGTGATACCTACTTTGTGGTGTCTGGTATTGGCACAGTATCTTATGGTCAAGTAGGCCAGCCCCTTGAGGAAACCTAGAGATCTACCAGCATTTGTATGAATAAGGCAGTGGAAATGTAGGAGCTCGAATGCATTTACTTCATCTATGAGAAAGATAGTCTCGTTTTTAATGTAGCTTAAGGGGAAAAAAATTAATAGAATTTTAATTGTCCTAAACCCTGTATGGGGTCACCATGAGTTGGAACTGACTCGACAACAACAACAATGTTTTTATAGGCTTGAACTAGCGAAGAAAAAAGTTAGTTACACACATTTCTTAAATACTTTCTGTGAGAGTTCAACCATGAGGATACCGAATATATGCTGATAGAGATCGCGAAGAAAAACTGGGAAACTGTACAGAAGGTAGAAGACAAAACATTTCTCAGTAAGAGTATATTTTGCATTACAGTCATTTAGAATCTTCTCAGTTAAAATCAAATAATCTTACTGGCTAAAGAATGGATCCTGAAGCAGTGAGGAAGTAACTACAGAAACCATTTAGAAGCCATGTCTGACTTACGGCTTCACAAGAGAGAAAGAGAATCAGACAGCCCAAGGCTGATTCTGATAAAGCAGAGATCAGACATGCTTCTCTCCTACAACCTTCTTTATTCTGACACCAACCATCCCTCCCACAGCACTCTCGGCTTCACATCTGGGTATGATAATCCATTGCAATATCAATAGAGAACTCATAACAATACTCACGATTATGGGGTTTATTAGGGAAGTGAACAGGTTAAAATTCAGGATCGAAACCAACTCAGGACGCAGCAGTTTTCCAGTCAAGAAAGCCTCTGGTCTACCATAGTTCAGACATGCCTCACTGTTGTCTTCTACCTCTCATGTGGTCCCTTGGCCTCTACCCTCCTGGAGCAAGTGTTACAACGCTCTTTAAGCCAGTCTATGAATACCCAAAGGGCACATTCTGCAAGCCAGTCTCCAGCCCATAGGCAGTTTTACTCAGTCCATGGACCTATAGCCCCAAGCTGCCAGCCTTATGCTCCACTTAGGGTCTTCCTTCATGATAATACTGGGATCTTTCATCTACGTTTCTGCTATGGCTCCTTTTAAACCTAGCTAAAGGGCAACACTTACCAATCCTAACGTTAGAGCCCTGTATAGCTTATTTGCATGGTCCCACTCGGCGATCTGCTCCCGTAAAGATTTACAGCCTCGGAAACCCTGTTCAGGGTCGCTATGGGTCGAAACCGACTCGACGGCACATAACAACAACAACAACTCAATCATTTGGTGTGAATTAAGAAGACTTTGCAGATAGAAAAGCCATATCAAGTAAACTCAAGGCACCCTTGTATTGCCATTGTCTCATTGTTGAAAATAAATATACCCTGGTCATGATGAATTCCACAGAGTATGCTTTTTGCAATATTTTATAAAAGTAGACACTTTGCTGGAAATCACATAACTAAGATCAACAAGTATAGCAGATGATCAATTTACAGCAAAAGAGAAGCTCCAGATTAAAAGAGGGATTGTTATTGTAGTTAAGTGCTGTTTAGTCTGGCTCATGTTAGATGCAGTGAAATCGATTCTGATTCATAGAGAACCTATGCACAATAACGAAACACTGCCTAGTCCTGTGCCAACACCACAATTGTTTTTCTAGAGCCTATTGCTACTGCCACTGCTAACTCATCTTGTTGGGGGTCTTCCTCTTTCTCACTGACCCTCCACTTTACCAAGCATGATGTCTTCGAGGAACTTGACCCTCCTACTAACATGTTCAAATAAGAGACAAAGTCTTGCCATCCTTGCATCTAAAGAACATCCTGGCTGTATTTCTTCCAACACAGACTTAACTGCCCTGGCAGTCCATGATACGTTTAATAGTGAATCATCACCTGAAAGACATAATGCTTTAATTCATAGCAACACTGTATAGTTTCTGACAAGCTGCTGGTAGATTTGAACTGTGGATTTTATGGTTGGTAATCCAGTATTTATCCTACAGAGCCACACCAGAACTCCAAAAGAGGGGTGTTGTTAAGTGCCATTGAGTCAGTTCTGACTCTTAGTGACGCTGGTTACGGTTTCTGAAGAGCAGCTGGTGGGTTTTAGCTGCCGACCTTGTGGTTCAAAGCCCAGTGCTTAATCTACGGCGCCACACAAGGAGTCCAAAAGGATGCTGTTGGTAGGTGCCATCGAGGATAGAGGGATAGAGAATTCTTTGTAAAGGACTTTCAGGTAGCATGAGTTGTTCCAGATAATTTAACCCAGGATCCCCTCTTACTGTGAAGTTGAATATCCCATCTAAGCAATTCAGTGAGATAGTGACACAGGCAAGATTCATTTGTACATCTCAATCTCCTTCTACCAAGTTGAGAACTGTAGAATCAGACCCATGTGTGGGTTGCTGTTTTAGTAGACATTTCATGATAAGCCTGTTCAAGTTGAAAAGCTATTACCACTTGTTTTAGAACCATTGATTATTCTAAACATAGTTAAGCTTTTCTTGGGAAGGCGTTAGTTGTAATTTGGTGATAGGTTACTCTTTGGTATAAGTTCATTTCAGAGCCCTTTGTAGAATAATCGTTTAAAGATTCTTTTCTTCTATGATGCATTAATTGTGTTTTGATTTTGTAGTCTGAGCAAATACCTTCTCATAAACTAGTAACTGATCCAGTTGACATTCGTTCCTTAAATACTCTTGGGGAAAAAGACATCATTGGTTTTATTGAATGGCCATGGGAGGGAGAGTGAGTATACCAACAAATACATTCAGAGTATATTCAGTTGACAAAAACAAAGTACCTTATTTATAAGAGGTTTAATAGCAATAATGGACCTAATTAGTAGTAGTGATTGTGTGCTGAGGAGTCAGTTCGGACTCATAGAGACCCTGTATAGAGTTTCCATGACTTGTCTTTATGGGAGCAGAAAGTTTCATCTTCCTTCTGATGAGCGACTGGTAGATTTGAACTGCTGACCTTGCAGTTAGCAGCCCAACGTGTAACTCACTGCACTACTAGGGCTCCTTGAGCCTAAACTGATAGTGGCCAGAATTGGACTACCTAATAAATGTCAATCACTATTAGGGCCTCATTTCATCATAGTGGCATCATTGTGTGGTAGCTAGCATGTTTTAATACCATTTTATAGATGATGAAGCTGAGAGACTATGTGAGCACTAGAATTTTAATTCCTAATAGTGTCATATCCATTTCTTATGTTTTCACATGTGGAAACAGACCCAAAGTTGAGATGCTGATCTCTAATTTTCTAAGGACTAGCTCTCAGATGAATAAAACTGTAGCAGCAACAAGAAATCCATAAGTATGCCAGAAAAGGCCTCTGAAAAGCTAAAATAGCTATCATAAAGTTTACTTACCAAAGCTCGTATTCTTTACTATAAGAAAGCTCCTCAGGTAATACGCAATGTTAAAGAATAATGATGAATCTGGAAAAACACCTTATAACACAGGTAAACGTGAAGGACATCATACTGAGTTAAATAAGTCAATCACAAAAGGACAAATGAGACCGCTGTTGTAAAAAGTCAAGAAAAAGTTTTAACACTAAGCTTTTCTTTTGTGGTTATCAGGGTGGGAGGGGAAAGGAGGGTAAATTACCGGCTAGACATTTGTAAACTTGGGTGAAGGGGAAGGCAATAAGAGGGAGGTCAGCAATAAATGATGGAGGACACTAGAAGGAGTACCAGAGTTAAAGTCAATAGAGGTAAATACTATCATCTA